CTCCTCTTATTGAATGCTCAACCATAACCTAATTTTTTTATAATAAAAAACATCAATTAACTTAAAGGTAATATCATAATAACTAATTCAAAAGTACGTATTTTACAGCCTTACTGTGTAATCTTCAATATCACCTATGAAAGATTTGGGTATAATTACATCCGAGTTAGACGAAATTAAAGGGGAGATTGGGTTAAAGAAACACGGATCAGTAGGGTTTGAAACGTTCAGGAAGTTACATCCCGGAGGCGGTGAATATTTTTTTATGGATACCCTAGTGGTGAAAAATGCTAGACTTCCATCACTTGGATATTGAACTATTGGAAATTAGAATTATTATAGGTTCATGTTGAAACAAATTCAGAATTAATGCAGTTTACGCACTATCATTAGCGCCCCAGTACAAACACGGAAGCGAACCATTAATGCAGTACGGAGGTTCGATAATGGTTGTTGGGGCTTGCAGAGTGATTCGAACGGCCCCAGGTATCGGTGGTTCCTGAGAATTAATGAAATTTTATTACGTACTTCTATTATAAAGAATAAAGAACCCTCGTGAGATCTGCACCTTTCGGAGATATCCCTCATTAAATATGACCGTGTAGGCTATGTAGCTTATTGCTAAGAGTTGGAAGAGTCGATAAAGTATTCCCAACCTACAGCTAATTAATTGTAAATAGAAAACTTTAAAAAATATTCTAATCCAAAATGACTGAATTAAAAGACACTTGCCTTTTTATTAATACTATTTTATTCGTTTCATAACTACCATGTATATTTTTAAAAAATATTATTATTAGAACGAATGAAGAATAAGAAAAATTCAGGAGACTATCAGAAAAGAACCTGAAATCAGTAAGTTTAAGACCCATATCGAAACTGATTTATATAAAAGAAGTAAGTCAATTAAGAATGATTAAGTCTTGATTTTGATGAGGAATTATTGCAATTTTTTTTCTTTTTATAAACATTTTCATATAAAATAATCGAGATCCTAAAGGAAAAACTTTATTTCTTTGTTTCAGCTTTAGTCACTAATCTTCTCGTAGAACGCTTATGAACAAAAAGAATAGATTATTAATTGCCGCAGTAAAAACAGAGAAACTCGTCTCCAAATGTTATTTTTAATTTCGAGAAATGCTAGTCAGCTGCTGAGTAACATTTTTAATGAATTTACTCAAAATTTTTGTTTATTTTTGTTTTAGATTATGGAGATCTTTGTTTAATTATAATAGGAATTTGTGACCATAACTTAATTTAGTTACGCATTAATGGAAATTTAACCATAACAGATAAAACAAAGACATTCGTAAAATTATGTACAGTAAATACAAACGGGAAAACATTTTGACTGGCTTATTTATACGTGCTTGATGTAACAACTTTAAAATAGTAAACCTAACGGAATCCTCGATATATCTTTAGAGCTTGAAACAAATTCAACCTCAATGACGATTTCACGACCAGAAACCGATCTTCTGTTCCCTCTAAAGAGAACCTTAACAACTTCTTACGAATCTTGTCGGCATCAGAGTTAGGAGTAATATTAAGTTTAACCGAGTAGGAGGGCTTTATAAAAAAGAATATGAAAAACTCATTTGAAGATTAAATATCATAACTCAGTTAAGGATTAAACTGATTTGCGAATCACTTGAGATTTAGAGCGTGAATTTTATAAGCGTGATACTATTAGATGAAATATAATTCATAATTATAAGTTTCCTAATTCTTAGCGTATCTTGAAGATGTTGATTTATAATTTATTAAATAATGTATATTTGGTGTTCCATTTTAATATAACTGTTCGAATTAAAAATAAATACAGTGCGTATTTAAATACTGTATTTGCGACTTTCCAAAAAATAATGATAGAAAGAAAAAAAAATTTTTTAAATGTTATTTAATCATAGGGTAGGGTTCAAAAAAAGAACAAACAAAAATTTTCAGAATCCGAATAGATTCAATCCATTTTTAGATTAGACTAAAGTTTATCAATCAATTGAATACATAAGTGCAATTAATTTAAGCAGTATGCAGTAAATATACATAATGTGGATTGCAAATTCCCATCTCTTACTTAAATTTTTCAGGCGGCAACAAAAATTTAATGGACAAAAGCTGAGGATTAAATACTTTTTTTATGCAGTAAATATACATAATGCGGATTGCAAATTCCCATCTCTTACTTAAATTTTTCAGGTGGCAACAAAAATTTAATGGACAAAAGCTGAGGATTAAATACTTTTTTTAAGATATTTCAATCTGGTGTTTACTTAAATAAAGAATCAATTGGATTGATTTATTTGATGTCACAGATAATAAAAAAAGAAGATTTTTTCTAAGATTCAAGTAAAGCAAGAGGATTATTCCAATTAGACAAATCCTTTTTGAAAGGAGGTTGACTTTATTTCTGGACTTTTTTGATAAGTCTTGATTTTTCTCTTTATCCTATTTATTTTTTTCTTTTCCTTTAACTTAGCTATTCATAGATTTTTAGATCAATCAAGAATAACAAATCATTAATAATAATTCTAATAGATAAAAATTATTAAAGGAACATAATATTGTTTTCAAAATCTAATATAGAATATTTATATATGGCAATAAGTTGATTACTTTGTAAAAAAAAATCTATAAATTATTATAGATTTTATTTTAATTTCTCAATAAAAACAAGCCATTGTAACATAAAAAAAATTAATTTGTTAAAAAGTTTAAAAAATTTTAATTATAGATATATATATAACTTGTTAATATAATAAAATTAATAACCTAATTACAAATTAAATTGTTTTTTGATAAAATAACTAGTAGTTTACAATTATTTACTTACATTTTATTATAAGTTTTATTTTAGTTCAAAATTTTTTATTAAAAATGATAGTAGTAATACAATAAAATACAAATCTGCTTAGTATTATTTAACAAAAATTTAATATATTTATCAAGGTTTTTATTAAAAAAAATATTAAAATATTATTGACAATAGCAAATTATACTTTTATAAAAACTAGTTTATTAATATTAATTCAAAGTTTTTTATTAAAAATAACTTAATAAACTTGTTAGATAAAAAACTTTTTAACTTTAACTTTTTTTAAAAAAATAATATTATTAATTTCAAGATACTTTTGTTTTTTTAAAAATTTGTATCATATTTTTTTTTTTTTTTTAACCTGCAGTCAGGCCAATATGACTTGTCTATTTTATTGTAAATATATTTGGTATTTATATATTTTATGACTTTCACATATTGACTCACCAATCTACAAAGTTTAATCTTCTCTAAATGCAACTTAGGAGATAATATTTTACACCCTTTATGGCTTGAATTACTCTCTAGTCACTCAAATTATTGCCTATAGCTCATAACTATAGATATCTGTATCATATTTTTTATATTAATGTTTTTAAAATAAGTATATAGTATTTTTTTTTTTTCATATACAATTTTACTCATTTTATTGATTATATATGTTACATATACTCTTGTTTATAAAGCAATTTTGCAGATTGTTTCTATATGTAGCAAAACAAAAAACCAATTAATATAGTTTTATTGAGTAATACTATACCCTTTATGACTTGTTGTTCTCTAAATAAAGTACTAATATGTCTAGGTGCCATTAATGTGTGTAGTTAAAAATATTATAGATTATTATCAGGCCTTGAATAATAGCTTCTATTGTTTCTATAGTAATCTCAGAGTGAAGTGTGGGTAGTGATTCTTATAGAAGTTCTTTTTTCTGGTTTTTATTCTTTTTCTTTTTTTTGTCTTTTTTTGTGATATCTTGTGCTTTTTTTCAAAATTGTAGATGGCTACATCTATCAACCCATATATTGTAAGTGATAAATTAAATATTGTTACTGTAACTTTTAATGGCCTTAATTATTTTTTCTAGGGCTAAAAACCTGCTGAAGACTTTTATGACTTTTTTGCTGATAACTTTTCTTAAAAGCAGGTTTCATAAATTTGCTTCTTGAATATGTTTAGTAACCTCCACTTTAACTGTATGTAGGTTAACTTTTTCTGTTCTTGTACTATTTTATGATATATTGTTGATATAATTATATTATTAATTTCAATTCCTTGATATAAACATTGAAAAGTGTAAATATTATTTTCTGTTATGATACATGCAAAGCACTAGGTTGATGTATATATTTCTGATTTTTTTCTGTACAGTATGTGTATTATAGAGAGTTCTAGGTTCTATAGTTTGATTGCAAATTATCTTTGTATATAGTCAAAACCATCGATATATATTCTGAAGAATTTTGAGAAATAAAGAAGTTCTGCAAAGTGTTTCTAATCTATGTCTTTCTTCTGTGAGGGTTGAATAGTATTATTTCACAGGAGACTACACCATTCGTGTATTATTTTAGCTTGTTATATTTGTTTTAATACTTTTCAGATATTGTTGGGTATTTCTAATATCTTATTATAAAAAAAGGATATGGTTGTGTGTTTAAGTATAAGAGTAGTGAGGAAGCCATCTTCTATATTGCTTTTGAAAGCTAATTTTATTGCTTCATATACTATACTGAGAATTGTGTTGTTGTCTTCTTTCTTGTTTATTTTTTCCCAATAAACTGTAAGCTATGCTGTCTGAATAATGTGATATAAGTTTTTATAAGCCTATATTTTGTAATATTTTTGTTTTTTTCCATTGTCACATATGTTATTTCTTTGATTAGCTTTGTTGAGCCTATGTGGTTAGCTATTGTGCTGCTGTGTGGAATATAGCCAGTTGTGATTATGATTGTCAATATTTCTGCCTGAAAGGTGGATACTTGTCCTTTGAGTTTTATACCTATTGTTTTGAGCATGGTTCTGAAATAGTCTATTATAAGAAACCTAATTCCTATGGATGTGGATTGAAAGGATTGAAGGTACTATCAGTTGTTATATAAAAGCTTCTCTTTCTGTTGAATTTGTTGTATATATCTTTGATTTTTTGTTTGGTTGCCTTTGTAATTTAATTATTTTCTGTATTTGACAAATGATAATGGGTGTAGTGTTGATTTGTATTGATTTCAGCCTATTATTGGGTTCTGCTATCCATCTCTCGATGCTGGTGTGGAATATTTTCAATCACAATTTCCTTTCACTACTATTTTCCTGTATTTATTTTGATGTTAATGAGACAAAAACACTTATGATCTTGTCTTGCAATACTTTGAAACAGTACATGCCTAGTCTGTTGTCAATGTTCTTGTTGAGATTACAGTCACAGTATTTATTCACTGAGGATTTATTAGTCATTGTGTAGTATTAGAGTTTGATAGTGTTGTTATAGAAATTAATTCTTTTATCCAGGGTGATGATGTTTTTTATCTTTATGATATATCAAGATGATTTCAGACCTGGGTTATCATTAAGTTCTTGTATAATAAATTTTATCTATACCTCTAGGTTGATAATGTTGAACTTGGGATGATTGTTAATGAAGTGTTGAATAGCTGTTTTAAGCTCTTGAAACCATAATAGTTCTTTTTGTTTGTTGGTTTTATTGTGTAGAGCTTCTACTTAGTGCCATTCGAGGGCTTTGATATGATAAGTATTGAGTAGCTGTTCCACCCAGATTATACTGTATACTCTCAAACCTTTCCTTATTTTATTGTATATTGGGGGATTAGTAATGTCTTTAATGTATGTTAAGTCATGTATGTGTGAGTTTATTTTAGTGTATTAATATATTGTTATATTTTGTGATTGTATTTCTCTAAGAAGATTCTACAGAAAGTTTGACTATATGAAGTGAACTCTGGAACATTGTTTGAAGATATCCAGTTTTTGCTATGTGACCTATTAAAGTTGTTATATACATAGTCTTATTATTTGTCCAGCTATATTAGTACTATTGTAAAG